TCAAAAATAAGGGAGTAGTGCCGGAATCAAATCTGGTGTTCCCTTCACGTCACCTGACATGTTTTGACATCGAATTTGGCATGATGATGGATTTTTGGGGGTACACAAGGAAAGAGTAAAACAAAGAGTTGTGATAACATATTATATTCCAGCCTAGATTGGGTGCAAGTGAGCTGCATAATAAGGGGTCTCTTGGGCTGGTTGATTGTTTCATGGGGAAGATTCTGAAGTGTGCATGGATGCTCATCACATCTTCCTCCTTCACAACTGAATTATTTCTCTTCTTAGACACTGAGTACTATTAATCTAGCCATGAGTAGTGATGTTGAGTCTTGACTCGTCTATCTCTTTCAGACTGACCACCGAAGCTCCCGGAGCTTCCCCCGAGGCGCAGAGTGGTGATAATCCGGATTTGGCGCACACTAGTTTTTCTTTTTTTGCGGATTTGCTCAGTCAACCAAAGAAGCCGAACCGCAAAACACGAACAATAGCACAGCATGTTTCAACTTAAAGACTCTCGACTCCAAGCCTCGACACAACAGCCTCATCAGTCTTGAACTCCAACATTCCGAAATTCACATTTAAACACCTATAAAATTCCCTCCTCGAGAGCACCGTAAAGAACTCTCGAATCTATTTGAAACCTTTCGATCGTCTTGCGATGTCAGTCAATTCGATACCTTCATCACCTGACCTCCTAGCGCCCAAGAACCATTCATCCATCTCCACTCCGAGGACCTTCGCCTTCGCTTCCATCATTTGGCCCTCTGGGCCTGCCGCGCGAAGGACTGAGGCCGAAATCGACCAAGCACACAAAGCTCTCAGACGTCTCATCTTGACCGACCCCTACGACGAGGTTTTTTTTTACCTGATTTCCTCTTTGCCAAATTACACACGAGTCCCTGACACGCCTCATTTACTTTTTCAGGGGGAAGCAACCCAGCTAAGAGCAACTACTTGGAAGATCTTACTCGGCTCCCTCGAATGTCCCGCCGATTATTACTTTGACCTTGCCTCCAGACCTCAATCCACCTGGTATCCCAAAATCCGAAATGATACGTTCAGGACTCTCGCTACAGATAGCTCCTTCAAACAACGTGTCCACGAAGATATGTTGGTCAGGTTATTAGAGAGCTTTGTTTGGAGATCACATGGTATGTCGGCCGTTAAATCCCGTCGACAATAAACAAAAAATTGCCACACTTGTTCGTCGCTGTAAAGTTTTACCCATCTTACTAGGTACTTTTTTTTTCTCTTCGCCCCCCCCTTTTTTTTTGCGTGTTTATTTTTTTACTCTGGGTTGCCACCAAAATAGATCTATCTGAAAACCCGTTGGATGCGACAGACCGGCCGTACGATTTTACATACGTACAGGGAATGAACGTTTTAGCAGCCCCATTCCTATACACCATGCCGTCGGAGCTGGAAGCGTTCTATGCGTTCACCAGGTTTATAGAGTTCCACTGTCCACTATATGTCCAACCCACGTTGGAGGGTGTTCATCGAGGCTTGAAGGTAAACTAAGGTCTTCACATCTATTAGACTTTTAATTTGCCCAACAACTAATCCTTGCTATTTAGCTTTTGGACGAATGCCTCAAGATTGTAGACCGAGAGCTCTTCGACTACTTGCGATCCAAAAACTTGGCGGCGGAGATTTACGCATTTCCCTGTGAGTCAGCTCAAGTCTCTCGTACTGGCAGAAAACTGATAAATGGATTCTACATTCTTGATAGCTGTCTTGACATTTTGCGCGTGTACGGAACCGCTTGATCAAGTGCTACAACTATGGGACTACCTGTTGGCATTTGGGGTGGGACTGAATGTGTTGTGTGTGATCTCACAGCTTTACATGATGAGAGATCGGGTCCTGGCCCATCCATCGTGAGTACCAAAGCAGGAATGCGGTTAATTAGTTTGTGAATGCTTAACCTCGATATGTTTCCCTTTCTCCCCCTTGACACTACACAGGCCGATGGCATTATTGAGGAAGTTTCCTACCCTAGAGGCGCGGGAAGTGATTATGTTAACCAATGTATTTATTCGAGAATTGCCCAAGTCGTTGTATGAGAAAATCGTTCGTCATCCCTTCGAAAGTCACGTCATAGATAAATAAGTATATCTCCCTCCGCCCTGCTTCTTTCTTTCTTTTCTTTTTTTTTTCGTTTCTTTTTTTTTCTTCCCCGTACGCCTTTTAATTTTAGAGAGAAGGGGAGTGCTGGGTTGGGTTGGCACCAAGTTTCCTTTTCCGGGGTGTGATGATTTTTGTTCTCGTTTTATATTGAAGTTTGGGAGTGATAAATTTCTGCCTGAGTATTCGTATTTCTCTCGTCTCTTCTCTTTCTGTTACCCACCCATGTGTTGGTTGGCCTGTTCGGATGAAGTTGTACTGCTCTTTTTTTCCTTTTTTTTTTTTGACTCGCGTGCACAGTGTACTTTGGGCATCTTAACCAGTTGCTCTTCAATCCATACCAAATACATGCAAGTTTTCTAAATAAATAAAAGATGGACTGGCGTTCTCCTGATACAATAATTAGATGCTCTTGTGGTTACAATTAGCGGGTGGGTAATGAGTCTCTGCTTTATCCAGACCTTGAGTTGTGCTGTTGGTCAAAAAGTTGTGCTGTTGGTCAAAACCGAGTGCACCGGTGTGCAAACTCCATTCTTGGATTCTCGCGGGGTTATCCTACCACCGCTACTATGTACAATTCTGTCGCACAGCACGTGGTTGGCGGTTAGGGACCATCTGGCTTACATAATAGGTCTCTCCTGTGGCTTTAGTTTTTCATTTCAGACAGCCAAACTGTATTCGGTTG